ATCATCATCATCATCATCATCATCATCATCATTATCATCACTGTCAACATCCTCTGTTCTTGTAATGCCAGTGGGACACATATTAAGTCCTTGCCCGTTCAAGTACCCCTCTCCCTAAAATTAACTCGTAAAAAGTGATAGTTTCCAAGATTGTCTTTTGTTATGTACACTTTTTTCCCAAAAATGTTTACAAATTAAACAAATGTGTCAGGAGTTATGACTGTTAGTACTCCCATTACCTTACTGACATCTCGACCTGATGATAAATTACAGTTTGCTTTAGTTTCCTCAACTTTTTCTACAGCAAGTTGCAAGTAGTTGATCGCATCTTGAATCTAAAAGAGAAATTAAAAACCAATAGCTACACTCTAGAGCAAATTAAAATAATTGGCCTTAAGAGTAACCCAAGCTCAATCAAACTGTCAAATTTCCATGTCATTCCATTTGATAAAATTTTGCCCTTTAGAAATTATTGCAGCCTAATAAATGGATCAACACAAATTTCAAAGTCATGAATTTATCATTATTTTTTTATTCTTTTATGTGGATACCTGTTTTAGCTTCCATGGCTCATGCTCTCTTATGAAGACACGAAAGCCAGAGCTAGATACTTTGGGAAGCTTGAATTTTAAGTCCTGTAAAAACGCAAAACAGTCTTTTAATGAGTTGCCTCTTTTTTCCAAAATAAATCTTGGCAAAAAATTAATACATCATTCATCTGAAGTACTCTCTCAAGTATATCAGATACTTGTTACAACTTAAATGTTGATTTTGAAATTGTAATTAATTAAAAGCTTGCTTGGCAATTTTATCAGTTCCATTGATTTCCTGGGAAAAAGAAGACAAAAATAAGACAATGCTCTCAAAACAGCTGGATTACATACTGCTTTTGAAATATTTTCTCCTTCCACAGCAACATAACCTTTAAGGGTATCACTACTGCAATACAAGACAAATACAATAAATTATTATAATAAAACTAATTATTTACCAAAAATTAATCAATTAATTTGTTCCTTAAGAGTATATAGAATTAAAGAAGCTGCAACTTAGATAAAGTCTGTTCCAATCATAGGAATATTAGAGCCTGATAATTCATCAGTGTTGGAGTTTTGAATGCCGTTTCTGTTCCATAAACTAAGATTAATAGTGTTGCAACCTCCCCTTCCCCTCTTAGATGAGATGTCAGCCAATATTGCAGGTGCCTGCCAGATTTTTCTCAGGTTTCTATAGCAAATCACTGGGAAAAGGACAGTTTTATGAAAAAGCCTGATTTTCATGTTGTAACTTAATTCACCACCTGGAGGAAAGTTTTATACTTATAACAAAGCTGAGTTCAAAACATTTTGCCTGCCCGTGAAAACCAACTGCCTTCCTGCCAGAAACATATCATAGCGTTACCGAAACAAATCCAGTAAAACTAAATGATGAAAGTTTACAAGAATTTTAAGCAGTGGTGGAAAACTTCTTCCTTCAAAGTCTTCTTTACTTCCACTTGTTTTCTACAACTCTATAGGAACACAGAATGTGTTTACTTCTAGGTGCTTTTTTAAACTTACTTTGGGGTAGAGAGCATGAAGTAATCTTGAGGCTTTACTTCCCCTAAAAATCCCAGTAGCATTGTAAACAAGTCATATTTCAGAAAGGAAAAATAAAAATATTTTGGAAAGAAATTATAAAATAATATTGAACAGTTTTAAGAGTGACAAGAAAACAGATTGTTCATATTGCGCCTTTCAAGATGTATGTATACTGTCTTATAATGTATCAAATATTTTCACTCATGCACAATTGGTCTGTGTCACATGACTGAATATTCCCCAGCTAAAACTGGGGAATATCAGTCAAGAGTAATGTTTCCCAATTTTCAAAACCGTGTGTGTTGCGCAAAATATTTGAAGGATAATAAACACAATAGCCTCTATTTGAAAATACAAGGATATTTCTCCTTGGACATTATCTGTTCCTCAAAGCTCACAGTTTTCTTCAAGCTGTGCTCTCGGAAAACTGTTCGCTTCTTGGAACAGATAATGTCTGCTGACAAATATCTAAGGATATTTTGCACCAACTGGAGGCTACTGTTTATATAGTCCCTTACACAACAAATATACAGAGATTAGTAAGTATTGTCACAATTTTTATTCTTATGCTATAACAATGCAGATAAGAACTGTTACACTACATCGGGCTGGTCCTGAGGACATATAAAACAGACACAGTAAATTGATAATGCCATGAATGCAAAGCCAGAAAAGAGAATTAAAGGAGAAAGGTCAAGCTGAAAGAAGAAGGAATAGAAGGGTATAGGGGAGGTGGAGCAAAAGAAGTGGATAACAGGGTAAGAAAACTAAACATTAGATTTAGGGGAACCTTGGGATTCTTGAGGTCACAACCAAATACAAAATCCATATGCAAAGATGGCAGGCAAACACATAACAGTTGAGAAATATGATCAATCTTTGTGTATCACAGGCGCTAATAAAACTGCATGAAAAACCTCAATAGGGTCCTGTTCACTTAGTTTCTTATTGTCTTGTTATGTATATGACACAAAATTATCTTATCCCCACCTTGTATTTCACCTGTGGCTGTTTTTCCTGGAATACATGAGAGTTTCAAACATTTTGAGCATTCCTTTGAAATAAACACAAACCAAGTTCCAATGGGTGCTTACCATTTGTCAGAATAAACTGATTAGGATGACCACTGAATAATTTTTGTTATAGGTGTGAAGATCATAGCCTGCGAACACAGATGTATTTCTGGCTGTCACTTGTCTCCGCTGAAAATAACGTCTGCAAACCCGAGCCAGGAAACGATTTCTGTGACGTAGGAATTTTAAGCCAATCACAGTCTAGCTCAAGTAGCCCCAGAACTACTGCGCGAGGTATTCACTGTGGGGAACACTTGAGTTTCTATCATGGAATCTGATTGGCCAAAGAGAAACAAAAGTCATTACGTCACAAAAATCGTTTCCTGGCTCAGGTTCGCAGACGTTATCTTCGGTGGAGACAAGCAACAGCCGGAAATATGTCTGCGTTCGCATGCTATGAAGATCAAGGCTACAGATAAATCAAAACTTAATGAAAGACTCTGAATTGGGTCATTTTCCTCATATCCCACTATTGTTGACACTTGCTAATATTATAGAGACCAAAGGGTGTCCCTTTCAGATTGAGAGTTGACTGAATCTGCTTGGTAAATTTACTAAAAGAATGACCTTTAATAACTCTTTTGACCATCCACAAGTGTTAACAAGTGAGGCATTTCAACAGAGAGTCTCAGTTTAAATGCCTTGACTATGCCTAGCCTTCCACTCTGTGGTCAACCATTTTGATAGGTGTCAATCACTCAGACAATGTGGAAAATTCATACAAAAACAAGCAAATATTCCCTGTCTTCACGGGCACGATTTTCGAGTCAGGGAATTGGTTATGAGGTGTAGTGCGTAAAACTAAAACAGGGGCGTAACTGGGGGGTCCAGGGGTGCCCGTGACACCCCCCCCCCCCCTT